ACTGAAAAGTCTGATGAGTACGCCAAGGTTCGAGTGGCTGGCTGGCCTCGGTGGCACTATGGCGTGCTGACCATGTACTCTGGTCACTTGGCCATTCCAAGCTGCACCAACTCCACTGGCTTTGACAAGCGCGACGACTTGCTCGACTTTCCCACGTTTTCGAACGAAAGCGTGAATCGACATCCCCATGTCCACGCCCGCCAAGACTTGATCTTCTTCTCGAAATCTCATTTCCGACGAGGTGATTACGACCACATGCAGCTGCACGACCTCAACCTGGGCAAAGTCAGCGAATACGCTACGTTTATGGCGTTGCAAGCCACTACACAGTACAAGCTGGCCATAGACAAGCGCTGATCTTATATATCATGTGTTGCATTGACAGATTGGCAGACATGGAAGTATATAGACGGGAGTAATAGTTATACTTTTCGACAATAATATATGCGTGTCGACACTGTAGTCGAGTCGCGCGCGATGGCTTTCGCTTTGCACTGCAAGTGTAGTTCGTATCTGGACCGAACAAATATGCAATAACTAGTTCAATATGGAAATGCATGCGAGATTATTAGATTGTCGCGAATTCGGACGGCCAATCGTTTACGATGAACGCTCGTTGTGGTTCAAAGTGCATTCATTGACGGGGTTAAAACATGGGCACTTTTTGATTGAGCAAGATGAGAAGCAGCACAAACACCACGAGCCCGGCAAAGGACAGCACCGCCCGCGTGTAGTTGGACGTTGAGATGGACTGGTGGTACGTGTCGATGGCTGCCTCGAGTTGCTTGACGCGTGCTTCGTAGTGTTCTCGCTCAGTCGCAGTCAACGACCCCGGCTGGCCCAATTTCGTGAGCTTGTCGTCTTGCCATAGCAACGCGTTGGCCTTGGACAGTTCTGACCGAGCCAGCGTGAGCGCCGTGGCCGACACGGCGTTCTACAAACATGTTACAACATGAACGCGGTCGAAATGTGACGATCGATCGTACGTGTTTGGTGTTGTACTTCTGGAACTCTTTGTCAAACTCTTCGGTGGCACTGCGTCCTTGAGCCTGGTCGAAGATGACCTTACTCACCTGCCGCTTTTGCACCGTGGGCTGCTCGGTCGTAGTGGTGGTCGGGTCGCTGCTGCTCATGCCTGTCGTGGTTCCAGTACACTTTGTTGGAAGTACGCGGTGCACCGACGGTAATGTTGTAAGATGTGGCTACTTATCCGGAGTTTTGTGGATACTGTATCCGGATATCCTTGGTTTACAGTCGTCGTATGTTCGCAATCTAACGAATTCTGGTCATTGATGTTGATTCAAGTCGGACCTAGCCGTGGTAACTGATGTAACGTTAGCAGCATATTTCGGTGGCGACGGAGGCCTCCCTAACGACTCGTGTCGTCCGAGCCATGCATCGGTCGTCTATCTACGTACCTGTTGACGACCTGTCCATGTACGATCGGCCCTCATCGCGCACCCCAGCGCAATTATCGCCACCAACCATATTGTCAGTGGGGATGGTAGAGCCAGCACTCCTATTCTCCAGTCCGTTGGCCAGGATTTCGGCATCATAGCGTATGAGGTGGAGTTGATGCAACAGCGCCACCAAATTCATGCCGAGGACATGCTGTACAAGAGATTGGCTACGTAAACACTGTACGGTCATCGATACGCCCCATCCGTCCATCGCGACGTCCAACTATATGCGGACTGTGGTCCTGTCTTTCGCGGGGCTCGTCGCCTTGCTCAAGCCAAAACGACCCCTGTTTTAACTAACACTTTAACATGCCTTAACTATGCCATCGAACAAGCGAACGCCTCATTGGATGTCGCGGGGCGGGTGCGGGTCCGAGGGTGCGACCCCAACGCCGAAGTTGGGCACGAATCGCCCCGCTGGCGTCCTGGACGGCGGATTCTCAATGACCACCACAGAAGACGATGTCACAAGGGGTCGCATCTCTTCCGGTGCATTCAAATTGGATCGCACTCTCAAGAACGAGTCGGACATTGCAGACACATTCAGATGCTGGGCCACGTCCACCAATCCAGATTTGGAGTCTGGACGCAAGTAGAACCTGCAAAAAGCTAGAGTTTCAACCGCGGATACATATAAGGATAGTCATTACCCAAAGTAGGTAGCTAGACCAAGCAACAGCGACTGTTCAAGGAGGAAAAACGTGGTTCGAAAGGGTTGCAGAATGGTCAACGACCACGCACATATCTACGTGTTACAAAGCAGTTGAGAGCTCAAGCTAAGGCTCGGCTTGCGTACATACCGCCATGTACCCCATAAAGAAGCACGAAAAGGCAATTTGACATTGCTTGAAGAGGTGGGTAGACGGTTCTACCACCGCAACCTCTTGGCCCAATCCTTCCTAAATGAGCCATTGCTCACAATGATATATGGCACTGCCAGATTCATTCCACTTACCCGTCTCAACAAGGCCACCAAGAACAACGAAAAGTGCACATTCAACGAACACGCCTACAATTGCCCCACGGCAATGCATCCATCGGCATGATTGCTGTTGGAATGTTTTACCTGTAGCACGTACAGCAGCACCAAAAATTGCAACGTCAGTTCGACCAGCATCCCTGCAAATGAATCGGCTACACTGCGCACCCAGCGAACGAGTCCCAGCACACAAGCAATCACTGCAAACACAATGGGGTGTTGGACATGCGTTTTCGAATACTGTAACCATATACATACGTAGGATGCGGGCCCAATCCCGAGGGCGCAACGTGGGCAACGTCAAGGTGTACCCGTTAGCCACGAGCATGATCGTCGCGAAGAAACTCACGAGGAACAGCGCATGGCAGCCTGCCACGAGCCACACGTACACCCACGTCGACGTGGAATCTCCCAACATCAGTCGAACCCCCATCTCAAAGACCCCGAGAGTCGCGGTGAGGGTCATGGCCTCATGCAGCTCGGTCACAAACTACACAGCAGGTGACCTCTACTACATCTATCCCATCATGATCACCCACCCGACTCGACTGGTAGCAGTGCGCTCCCCACGCGCCAAGCGCCAGCAGCCACAGACAGCCAAAGACAACGCAAGCAACGGCATCCATGGTTCAACCGTCGAAATGTTCGAAGTGGTCAACGGGTGAATCTGAATAATTTCGATCGTCGTTTCGTTTCGGTTCTGGTAAACTAGTAGTACTAGTAGTAAGTGTACTAACGTTTACTCGAAGTATTAATACAACGTAGTATTACAGTAACTGTAATATACTACTAGTAGTACTGTATACTAGTATGTATTGTTCGAAGTGTATTTTTTATATTAATACTTCGAAGTATGTAGTATTTCGAAATATTAATATTACTACAGGAATAGTAGAAGCGAACACTAACGAATGATAATACTAGTATAGTATTACTATTATTATAATAGCAATAGTCATGATCTAATCCTATAATAGTATTAGATCATGGCTATTGCTATTATAATAATAGTAATACGTTGTACCCGAGTATTGACAGGGAACTACTTCGAAGTATTAAAATAGTTCAAGGTGCCGAAAGTCCAATTGTTAACAAAGTACAGCAGCTGTATATACTACGAACAGTAGTACTACGTAGTAGTATACTAAGTAACTAAGTATTACTATTAATAGTACTCTGTCCGTTAGTCCATGTCCAATAGTTTTGAACCTTAACCAATGCACGGGAGCAGCATTTTCACAGTTAAATAACGTGTAAACGTTATAATATACACCAACAATATAGTAACATTATCATCCGATAATAGTAACATTATCCGATAGATGAGTATTAAAAGTCGACCAAGAAGGTCACTGTTAATACATAAAAGGTCGTTCCAGCGATCAATCTGTACGGGTTATCGCGGTCGGACGCCACGCGCTCGTCGATAAACACGATGCGGCCCAAAATGTACTCGGGGTATCTACCACCGAATTCATCCAATATCTGGTCATAATAATATTATAATAAATCACATTCGTACCGATTGTGCATCTGATAAAACGTCGTGATGGATTCGTCCGACAGGAACCGGTTTGGACACCCGAGGTGGAACGCCAAGTAAATTTTAGCGGCCGCCGCATCCGTGGGGGCAAATGTAGGTAGGAACAGCGCCAGATCGCTGTACGAGAACGACCGAAACGCAATCTTGGACGACGGCTCGTCGTCGTCGGGGCTACTAGTAGGGGCTACTACGGGGCTACTAGTACGAGCGCTCCACTTGTCTTCAATGTGCATGAGGCACTCGTGTAGGCCCTCGGCGCTGTCCAAGTCGACATCGTCGTCCAGCTGCAGCACACTCACGACCTTCTTGAGCCAGTTCCGCTGCATGCCCATCGAGAACTGGAGCGACCGCACCGTATCCTGCAGACCCGACTGCGCTTCTTCGAGATGACCAATCTTCGCTTCCTTCTCGTACATGGCGTCCTTGAGCAGGCGCACCGCGTCGGTCTCTTTGAGGATCTCGCTCGAGTGGTTCAATGTGCCTGCCGTCGCCGCCAACGCCAGCACCAGCGGAAACTTGGGGCCTCCGTGCGCGGCGGCGGCAGCTGTCTCGACACTGGCGCTCAAACTAGACAAGATGGACGGAGGTTGGTGTCGTTCTATATATATATATATATATATACGCATTCAGTTTTTGTAGATGATAGATACGCTCTATGGAACGAATGGTAATTTAAAAAAAGCTAAATACCGATTACATCGATTAGAAAATATCATTTTCGTAGCAGTTCAAGTAGCCGACATTGCAATATATATAAATATATATATAAATTCAAACCTGGACGAGTTCGAGTACGAATCGTCGCAGTGACACGATGCCTTGTGCTGCTCGTCCAATTCGACTTGGAGCGTTTCCACTTGACGCTCCAACGCTTGACAGCGCTGCTTGAGCACTTGCAGTTCGTTGGGCGGGTCGTCTATGGCGTCTTCTTCGATCGCAGGCAAGTTCTATCCATAATATATATATATATTTCAATTTTTTTATATAAAATACCGTGTCAAAGGGGCGCATCGACACGATGCAATGCGACGGCTTCTCCGTGAGTCCGGGCGCCAAATCCCGTGGAAGATGCTGGCCATGTTCCCGCAGAAATGCCTCGCGCTTGGCAATCTCTGCGTCGCGCATACCCACCATGGCCTCGCCCATCTCATTGATGCGCGCTTGGAACAGGCGGCCGTACTGGCGGCGCCGCTTGATCTCGACCACACAAGCATCGTACGCCTCTACCTCAAGGAAATATATATATATTACAAGAGTCATATATATGCAACTATATGCGATTTCAGAATATATATATATATCAAGAGTCATATTATATATGCAACTATATGCGATTTTACTGGAGCGACTAATGGAGAATGACGCAACATTCAAATACATGTATAGAATGTATCGGCAGAAGAATTGGGCCAATCAGATTGCAGGAAACCATCATCAACGTCAAATTAGTGTATGACTTCAATTAGTGTGATACCACCCATCACCACATGACACTCTTTTTACATACATAGAATCGATGGATGGATTTGGCGATTCAGCACAAAAAGTCCAATATATTTTGATAATATATATATATATATAGACGTACGGGGCAGCAGTTGCACATGTTTTAACTCGGCAAATTGGCGCTTTTGGTACGCGAGCGCGTCTTTTAGCATGCCCAAGTGCGTTTCAAAGGCAACAATATTGCACTGGAGCTCGGACACGCGCTTTAAGTTGGTGCACACGACCCCATACGCCTCGGCTTTGGCATCTGCGACACTGTTCATGATCGTCTTGAGTAGATCGTCGGCGTTTTGCATGTTGGGCAGCTACATCCATTTACCATCTCTTAGTAAGGTTTTGCATCCGCCAATGCGTACATACATACCACGTCGGCCTGCTGGCGAAACAGGTCATCTAGTCCCCGGCATGCTTCCAGGATATGCGTCGAGCCAAACATGAAGCTCATGTTCATGCTGGCGGTAGCGGCGGTCGCGGCGGCCTCGTCCATCGTCTGCTGCGTCGAGTCGGCCACGCGCTTGGACACGGCGTCGTAATTCTGCCGCAGCGTATCCCGCATGCTTGAAATCGCCGCCACTTTCGCCGCAAACTCGTCGACCGTGTGCCGCCATGATGACGGCGCCACCGACACCACAGCGCTGCTTTGCTCGGTAATCGCGTCAGACAAGGTGCGGAACGACGCCGCGAGGCTGTCCATCTTGGCTTCGAGGGATGCTTGCGACTGTTTGCAAGACACGAGCCAGTCCCGCTCGCGATCGAGCGGAATGCAGTCCAGCAGCGTCAACCGGGTGTCAGAGGCCAGCGCCGGGTGCAGAGGAATCGACCCCAGACGATGGACATACGTGTCGAAGTGCTCCAGCAGCGTCGAGTGGTCAGACTGCGCGTGCTTGAAGTCGGCCCAAAACGGCGTGAATCGACCTTGCATGGCCCTAGGACGGCATGGCGAATGAACATAAGGAGGACGGCAAGCAGGCAGTACGTGTGGTGGGCGTCGAGGTTGGATAGCGCCGCTTGAATCCCGCGGGTCTGGGTGTCGAGTTGCTCCACGCACGCCTCCGTGGCGGCCAAACGCGCCTTCGCCGTGGATTCCACGGCCTCGGCCATGAGAAGTTGCTGCTGGAATTGCGACTCGTAGTCAAACAATGCACGAAGCAATGGACTGGACGTTTCTTGAAGTAACTTGGCATGGCTGGAAGATGTAGATGGAGCTGCCGTGGGGACTACACACATGGAACCATGTCATCATCCTGGGCTGCGACGAAACGACGATGGACGTACGTTCGACAGTCTGAGGATGGAGGACAACTCGGGGAATGGATGGCCTGTCTTGGGAAAGAACTCTTCGGTCGTAAAGGAAGATGAACTTCTACATGGTGGGTGAGTCAAGTGAGGAAGGGGTGCAATGGTCGAGTCGGACCGAGGCGTGTGGAAGTTGGTACGACTCGACTGACTTCCTTGGGTCAAGACGGGCGTAGGGAGGGCCATACAGCAAGATTTGATCGTCCGATGGTATACTAGTCTTGAGGACGAGTTCTTGGCGAAGGGTATTGATGGAAGAACTACCAACGGACTCCATGAGATCAAGCACATCATAATGGTGGATGAACCTCGCATTCAGCACTACGTCGTGTTGCAACCCGTCCATCGCATTGATTACTTTGATGTGCAATGAGGGCATGGACATAGACCCCACGGAGCCAAGGTGGCCGTTGGGTGAGCGGGGGTCTAACACTAAGGGCGACATCGAGCCATCAGCATCGTCGAACCCCTTCTCCATATCCGAAGACTTCCACTGTAACCGAGAAATGTTTGCGCCCGTTATTTAAATACTTTTTGGGTGTGCTGGGATATTATTATTAGAAAGTGCCTGTGAACGCGATACATTCTTCCGATAATAAAATATCAATTTCGGGAGCGAATTGGGAGGGGCATTTCACATGACTCGACTGCAATCAGCCAATCACATGTCGATCATCCATTGATTTCAACCAATCACTATGCGACATTTCCAATGCTGGTCGTTGTTCTTATACGGAAGTTCTTGACCAAGTAAGGGTCTTCTATCGAGAGCAATCACAATATCCTCAGATCGAGTTTATTACAGTACTGTACTCCACGCAACACACAGGATGGGCGAGGAAGCGGACGTCCGCTCGCGCGCCAGCCGCGTCCAACAACTGACGATGCAGAAGAATCTCGTGGGTGCAGTCATTGCCTCGTTGGAGAACCCTCCCGTGAACTCGACCTCGGACCACATCAAGCAGTCCAACGCGCAAACAGTCTTTGCGGCGCTACAGGCATGCTCCAAGGCTGACGTGGCTACCGTCGTGCAAGCGTTGACCCCGGACCTTGAAGATGTGCTCATGAAGTACCTGTATCGAGGTCTCGCCGTGCCGCAGAACAATGCGTCGTTGTTGGAATGGCATGGTCATTTGGTGGCCAAAGCAGGCAACGGCTGCATCGTGCGTGCCCTCACAGACCGGAAACTCGTGTAACTAGGGATGATCATGCATTCTAATGCCCATTCTTCTCTGTGGTCACATCTCGAATGAATTTGGTGATGGCTTGAGTGGACCGCGATGGCGGGAGGTTGGCGTTGACGTTGCCGATGATGGTAAAGTGGTTCGTTCGAGAGATCTCTTCGCATGCGACGTGGGTCTACACACATGTTGCCATCCCATTCTGCATCCCTACTTGATATGCGTACAAATCCAAGGGAGTTGAGCCATGCTTTCAGCTCGATTGCGTCTTCATCCAGGTGAAAATCGTCTTGTGCATACAGCAGCAGCATCGGCAGGTCCTTCTTCATGCTTCCCAACGATGCAGCGGAAGGTTGCATCACGGAGGATTCTCGGCGCACTTGCACGCCATGTCCAAACACAGGGTCAAGCGCCATGGACCCAAAGATGCTCGCCGTCGACAGCCGTACGATGTTGTACACCCCCGAGATACCAACCACTCCCAGGAGCTACCACGAATGGGTTAGGATCTTTCCCAAGAATTGAATATCGGGATGCGCACCGGTGGGCAATTGGGAAACGCTTCCCCGTCGTCCAAGGCGAGTTTCATCACGGAATGCGCACCGGCTGAGTGCCCCATCAACACAATGCGCTCGTTGTCGCCGCCATACTAAAGTCGACACCCTGTAGCGTGAAGGCCGCCAACATTGCGATTGAGTGCAGTATGAAGCCATACCTTGTGAATCTCGCGGTGGACCCATTGCAATGCACGCAGGACGTCGTGGATGTGTTCAGGGTACTTGACCTCTGGGGACAACCGGTAGTTCATCGTGACCACAAGCGTGGGCGTGGATTGTGCGATCGTGGGTGCTACATGCGCGTAGAACCTCCCGCTCTTGTCACCGCGTTGCCACGCTCCGCCGTGAACAAACACCGTTACTGGCAGTTTGGGTCGAGGGAAGGTGGGCGACGTTGGGACCACGACGTCCTACATCCATCCTCAGTATATGATGAACGATGCATGCATGAGCGCCGTTCCACGCATGAGTCTCCTTCGTACCAGTATCTGCCTTGGATGTGCATTGGCGGTGTACGGAATGTCTCTCCATGTGTACATCGACCGACGGCCGAGCACCCGTCGTCCCAACAGCATCTTAATTTTTTATTTTATATTTTAGTTTCACGATATGACCTGATGACACAAAATATCCGGATACGTATGTCTATCCGGATCCTTCATCCGCATTTTTCTGAGGACCATGTATCGGGCGTCGTCCAAGGTTACGTCGGCGCACAACGACGGCGTGTGGAGCACATTCTGGACGAGCCGTGACCAAATCCTGAGTGGATCTGTCGATGAAGTCGTCAAGAGCTGGGATGCGAGCTCACTGGAGGAGTCTCAGTCGCTGTCCGTGGTGAAGCAATACCCAGGGCACGTGCTGGGAACGATCTCGGTGGTGGCGACCAAGGACGGGCGGCGGGCGGCAACTTCGTCGTTGGACTGCCAAGTGCGCATTCTGAACCTCGAAACGGGTGGCGTCGAGAAGACTATTGACACAGGCGCTGGGGAAACGTGGCAAATTGCGTACGACCCAACAGACAAGTTCCTCGTGTCGGGGTCGCAGCAAGGCAAGGTCAACATCATCAACATCGAGCAGGAAAAGATCGTGCAGTCCATCGCCGCCAACGGCAAGTTCATCGTGTCCGTCGCGTACTCCCCCGACGGAAAGCTGGTCGCCTGCGGCGGCTTTGACGGCGTCGTGGCCATTTTCGACGTGGAAACCGGCGCCGAAGTCCAAAAATACCACGGTGCGTCTTCCTCCATACCCTCGAACCCCCTGACAATGTGATGCATGTGCCAGATCGAACAAAGCCGGTGCGGTCCGTGGCGTTCAGTCCCGACGGAAGCTTCTTGCTCGCCGCGTCCGACGACATGCACGTCAAGATCTACGACATGTACGTTCCTTCGTTTTGAACGCATTGTTCGCGTCACTTACTACTACCATCGATCAACACCTGGGCGTGAACTAACTAATCGTGGGTGTATAGCACACAAAAGAGCATGGTGGGGTCTGTGTCTGGCCATATCTCTTGGATCTTGAACGTCGCATGCAGTCCCGACCGCAAGCAATTCGCCACCGCGTACGATCGATTTCCTCGTGGATTGGTTCCTCGTCATGATAATGATTGGCGTAGGGGCGGAGACCGCAAGGTCAAGATTTGGGACTTGGCGGCCAAGAATTGCCTCTACACGTTTGAATGCCACACCGACCAGGTACGAGTAGTCCTAGTAGTAGTAGTAGTAGTACTAGCTATCCTACTACACATGACTCGTGATCCTTGTCTGGTGAAGGTGTGGAGCGTGGCGTACAATTCGACGGGCACGCGGCTGGTGTCTGGTGGGGACGACGCGTTGCTGCAAATCTATGAAATTGCGACCTAAATAGTTTTAGTAGTTTGTCGTAAACGATTAATGGAATACGGCAAGCATGACACGTCCAACTACACGATTGTTTTGCTGTTGGTATATATATACTTACCTTTATTATCGATTCGTGTAGCGATGTATGTACACATCGAGATAAAGGATCGCATGTACAGGAGGAATATGTACAGGAGTATACACCAATCATGTCATTTCAATCGCTGCACCTGCCAGTGGAGAGCAAAAAGTAACTAACTCCTCAAGCTCCAAGAAGGGTGGTGTCGCAGTTGATATCATAACGACGGCCTTTGCATCTGGCCAGTCGAGTGGCTGGCTGGTTATGCACAGGGCCACAACATGTGGATGGTTATCATGCAGGGGTTTCATAACCGCCACCACCTTATTGCACTTGACTACTGTATTGCATGTTAGTACTATGTTGGACAAATCTATTTATAGACTTTCGACAATATTCATCGGCGGTTACAACGTACCACGAGGACACGCACCACATGAGGTCGATCTTCAAGCATGCTTGGTCATTGCAGCTTTTCCCATGCTCACCCGCCTCGTTGTCTGCGCCGCGGCACTACTGACGCACCACGTTACGCATGCGCATGTGCAAGAGCTCATTCGAAGCGGTCAAGTCAAGTCGAAAGGCGTCAACTTGGGCGGCTGGCTCGTAGCTGAAGAATGGATGACGTGGGACTCGCCGTTGTGGTGGGGAGTGCCCGCCACGCACCACAGCGAGTACCACGCGATGGATTTCCTCGGACCGGTGCAAGGCCAGAAGCAGTTTGACACGCACTGGTCATCGTGGATCACGGAAACGGACATCAAGCTCATCGCGCAAGCCAACCTCAACCTCGTGCGCGTGCCTGTGGGGTACTGGATTCAAGGGTGCACGGGGTTATCTCCAGCATTGTTCAAACAGGTACTAAAGGACTCAATGACGAGTACCGTTTTTGTCCAAGTGTAACGTTAGTCATGGATGTGACAATAGTGCAACGTGTACGCCAAAGGCGGGATTGTGTACTTGGACAAGCTCATCCGTGAATGGGCCCCCAAGTACAATGTGGCCGTGCTCATCAGCATCCATGGGGCCGCGGGGTCCCAAAACGGCGCCGACCACAGCGGGTCCATTGACGGCCTTTCCCATTGGACTGAAACCTACGACAACGTGTGGGCGACTCGGCAGCTGGCGTCGTTCCTGGCTCGGCGGTACAAGTCTGACATTTCGTTTCTCGGCATCGGGTTGCTCAACGAACCGGGGGGAACGACCAACCAAGCCACCATGCAGCAATACTACCACGACGTGTACTACGACGTTCGGACGGTAATCGGCAGCGACTGCATCCTGGCCTTGTCGCCGTTGTTGTGGTTTCAAGGCCGCGGGGGCGGGCCCAACTTTGAGGACTTTGGAAAGTACATGTACAATGTCTGGGTCGAATGGCACCCGTACTTGATCTGGGGGTACACTGGCAAGTCCGAGAACGACTTGATCAGCGCGGCCAAGGCATGGGCGACGCAAATCCGCGATTGGACCGGCCATCCCCTGTTTATGGGCGAGTGGTCGTATGTGACAGCGGGCAACACGTTCCAGACGGACGCCGCCACGAGCCTCCTCGTGGAAACGATGCTCAACATGGTCGAGTACGCGCAGGGCGGGTGGACGATTTGGTCGTGGCGCGTTGCCGGTAACAATCCGTGGAACCGATGGAATGTCAAGGGGTTGCTGAATGCATACGAGCACTCAAACCAGTTCTCGACTGTAAGTCGTAGTCTGTTGATCATGACGCTGAAAATAATGCAATATTCGAAATAGGGCAACCGCCCCAACGTGTCCACCCCCCTAACTATTGTGCGGGCGGCCCCCAACCAACGGCTGGAGCTGTACCAATACTTCAACCGTGGCGTGGTTCAAAACGCCAACTACATTGCTAAATTTGGCGTGACCGACTTGGAGCGATGGGTGTATTACGGCACCTCCAACTTGCTCCGGTCCGACCGCACGGGGGACTGCCTCGACGGGTACCGCAGCGGCAGCAACTTTCTCGCGCATTCATGGTACTGCGACGAAAGCAACCCGAACCAGAAGTGGCGCCTCGCCAACCACAGCCTCGTGCACGTGACGTACAACAAGTGCCTATCCATCTCAGCGGACGGCAGCTCGACCATTCTCGCCACGTGCAACGCAGACGACCCGACGCAGTTCTTCGCAACGAACGAAGTCGCGAGACTTGTGGCCTTTGACGGCACCCGGCTCATGGCGTATGGTGGCAATAAAGACGGGTGGTCCGGTATTGCCAAGGTGGGGGTGCCCCTCCTCGACGCGTCAGACGCGTGGCTGATCGAGTACACGACGCGCCGCGTGATCAACACCATGTCTGGCAAGTGCTTGGACGCGTTCGGCGTCGACTACAACAAAGGTACGGGCTCGGTGCACACGTGGCCGTGCAGCAACGGCAACGGCAACCAACTGTGGAACTTTGACGCGGCCACGAGTCAGCTCCGCCACGCCACCCACGCAGGGTTCTGCCTCGATCTGTCCGGCGGCGCCCCCACGCTGTCGCTGTGCCGCGACCCACGACAAAAGCAGCAGTTTGCATCCCAGCAACTTGACCTTGACTGGATTTCGTATCCGCAGGTGGACGTGCTCGGCAGCATTAGTGGTTAGAAGGTGCAGTATTCATACATAGTAATCCGATTTTTTTTCACGCCAGCCTTGTGGCAGATATGTACTGCATGCAACCTGTCCAGACATGTGAAACCGACAAACGATAGGCGTTTCATATGAAACGTCCAAGTGTCCCACGACAAAACGGCTAGGATCCACATGATTTGTAAATTGGTCGGACAGAGAACCACAATAATGAAGCTTTTTAGTTCATTGTTGGACTGGAAGGATGATGCCGATCCTACGAACGGTGGCGGCGTTGGTGGCGGCGACTACAGCGACCACAGCACATGTTCATGTGCAAATTCATCTTCGCGCAGGAACGGTTCCAGCCCGTGGCGTCAATTTGGGCGGGTGGCTCGTGGCAGAGCAGTGGATGACTTGGGACTCTCCGATTTGGAGCGGCGTGCCGGCTAACGTGTCCGGTCAAGGCGAGTACCAAACGATGATGTATCGAGGCGCGGAAGCCGGTCAAGCGGCCTTTGACGTCCATCGACGGACGTGGATCACGGAAGGCCACATCCAGCACATCGCCGCGTCCGGATTGAACCTTGTCCGCGTTCCGGTGGGGTATTGGATCCAGGGTTGCAGTGGCCTGCCTCGTCAACTTGCCACTGAGGTATCTATGACCGATATACGAACAAGCACTATTTCTTGATATTTAACGTGTGTAGTGCGCTGTGTATGCGTCGGGGGGACTAGACTACTTGGATACCCTTGTTCGGGAGTGGGCTGTCCAACATAACGTGGCGGTGCTGATCAGCATCCATGGCGCGCCAGGGTCGCAGAACGGAGCCGACCACAGCGCACCAGCCACGCCAGGTGCCCACTGGTCGGACTCGGACGAGAATGTCGCCGCCACCCGCCGCCTCGTGACTTTCTTGGCGGCGCGGTACCTCCACGACGACGCGTTCTTAGGCATTTCCCTCTTGAACGAACCGGCGGGTGCCACGGATGTGAACGTGTTGACGCAATACTATGACAACGTGTACAACGACGTGCGCAGCGGCGTGGGTAGCGACTGCATTTTGGTCACGGCCCCGCTCTTGTGGTGTCAAAACAGCGGCAGTGGCGTGTGTTCCATGGACAAGTTCGGGCCCGACATGACGAATGTGTGGCACGACTGGCACCCATACGTGGTGTGGGGCTATGACGCGATGACCGAGGATCAAATCATCACGCAAGGTGTTGGCGGCTGGGCCACGGCCATCCGACAGTGGAACGGGAGCCATCCATTGTTCTTGGGCGAGTGGTGCTTTACAGGTCCAGGCGGGAAGTTCTCGACCGAAGCGTCCACGAAAGCGTTGGTGCATGCCATGGTAGACATGGTAGGTGGCGCCGTCGCTGGATGGGCCGTGTGGTCGTGGCGTATGGCTGGTGACAACACTTGGAACAGCTGGAGCTTGAGCGGCCTCGTCAATAGTTACGATCCGGTTTCAATCTCCGACGTAAGAAATGATGTTCGAAATGTTTGTATTCAGAATGCATGTAGTGGCCATCTCAAGATGTGTCACCGGCAGGGTTGGCGTTGCGGGGTGTGACCGGGTATTTCACAGGCGACCCGTCGCGGGTGAACAAGGTGCTCGTACAGGATGCCATGTGGATGATGCAGTTCGGTGTGACGGTGATGGAGCGCTGGATGTACAACCGACGGACGTTGCAGTTGCGGTCCACTCGGTTTGGCGATTGTTTGGACGGGTACTTCGACACGAGTCGCCAGGTGTACCGCGTGCACATGTGGTCCTGTGCCGCGTCGAATGTCAATCAAAAGTGGAAACTGGAGCGACACCAGATCGTCCACGTGTCGTTTCTCTTGTGCTTGTCCGTGGCTGCCCTTGAAATGACATTGCAGCGATGTGATGCCACCGACGCCGCGCAGGTTTGGACGACCAAGGAGCGAGTCATGCTGGCACTCCCCATGCGACAGCGCGTCGGAGTCGGCGCGCAAGGCCAACTTGTCCAGGCTTTCATGCCCGACGACAATCTCATGTGGCAGCCGCCAGCGTTGACGTGGCTCGTTGACTACGAAGCACAGTCGATTTCCAATGCCGCCACTGGCCAGTGCTTGGAAGCAGCATCCTCCAAGCCACCGGCAAGTGGAAATATCTCTGTCTCCATGCAGCCATGTGAGCGAGGACGGGCGACCCAGAAGTGGATTGTTGATCATCTCCACCAACACCTCGTCTTTCTCGACCGCTTCTGCTTGGCCATGGCAGCAGCTTCTTCCAGCCAGCTCATGGTGTGCGACCCGACCGATCCAGGCCAGAGAATTCGACTCGAATGGCTCGAATACCCAGAAGTGTAGCGACCGTCCACACTTGGTTCGTGGGAATCTGAATGGGCAATATGGGATGACTTTTGGAATCAAATAGCCGTTTTAAATAGGATTAATTAATGTAGGAAAATTATAGGTGGAATTCGATGCCAGCAGGGACTTGTAATTGTTCCACGATGGTTAAAGAGTTGTGGAGCTTGTGGATGAGGAGAGATTCGTCCGATGGAGTCACAGGCGGCATGGACGACGATTGCAGGAACGGATGCGCCACTACCTGGGCAAGAGTCCACCGTTTCAACGGGTCGACTTGCAGGATGTTTTCCATCAAGTCGAGCGCGTCTTCGGAAACAACGTCATCAAAGTCCCATTCGTGCACGAGGGACCGCCAGCCTTTTTCGTGGACGAACTGCATGACAGGGTCGGACACTTCCGACGAGTCAACTGGTGGACTTCCCGTGAGCATGATGAACAGCATCACACCTATGGACCACACATCCGCGAGCACGGGATCGTACGACTCGCCCGAGTGCATTTCCGGTGCCATGTAGAATGACTTGCCCACGGCATGATCGCGACGCTGGTCGGTCTCCATGGACAAGCCAAAGTCGCTCACTTTCAACGTTCCATTGGCATCCACCAATACGTTTTCCAAGGACAAGTCGCAGTGGGCAATGCCACGGCCATGCATGAACTGCAAGGCATCGCAAATTTGGGAGAAGTATGCCTTGGCGACAGTAGGCTCGACCCGTCCGTTTGGCAATTGCTCCACGACGTCAAACAGTTCACCGTTGGCGCAGTACTCCAGCACCAAGTGCTCGTACCCATGTTGGACAAAGTCGTCGTACAGGGCTAAGATATGCGGGTGTGTTGTGACAGCGTTATCGTTGTCGGCCTTCATCATGTGTCGATGGATTTGGCGTTCGGTCGACACGACGGTTGAAGCATGCCGTGCCGCAAAGGGCACCTTCACGCGCTTGACCACAACGGGGGTGCCAGTCTGTCGGTCTGTGCACAGCAGGACTTGGCCCGTGCGCGTGGTGGCAAGTCTTCTCACGACGGCGTATCCTTCCATCCTGGATGCGCGTGGCCTTGTGGATTTCGAAATGAGAAGGTTTCAATTCAACATGGTGATGATGTTCTCTCGGTTGCAAGTTCAAGTCAGATATGACTGTAGGGGCGTTCTCGCCTGTGATTGGTCCGTGGGGTTAGTACGTTTCGAATCCTGCGTTTGGATTGGCTGAAGCTAGGTCGGGTGATTTCGGCCAAAAAAAACTGGCTTCGAAAGGCAGAGGCGTCGCGACGACTCGCATCTTTAGCCGAATCCTATGTACAGTGAATAAATACAATGTTGCTGAATCCAGACAAGTCTTAGGCTTCGCCACGTCTAAAGTACGTGAATCTTGATGTGCATAGAGAACGATTGTTCCAGGTAATTTTGATAGAGTTGCAAGGATGACTGATGCACAACCAGCGAGTACGCCACAGGATTATTAGAATGGTCAAGAGGAAGCTAAGGATACTTACTATTAATACTATAAATAAAAAGAACGTCTGAGTCGGAACCAGTATTTTTCGTGTTTTTGCAAATAAAATATACACTACTGTACACTTCAAAGTATCCAAAAAACATGACACTACAAAATAATACTCCTAATTAATGGACGTATAAATTTAATAGTTCTTCCGCATATTCTTATTGTGTTTGAAGCAGAAAAGTGCAATAACGTTATCATCAAACTTCCAATAAACGTACTCCGAGTAACTTTCGGTTATGAAGAAGCGACAATTCTGCGTTCAAGCGCAATGAATGTAACGATGCACGTTGATGCAAGCGTATGTACATGACGTTGATGCAAGCGTATGTACATGACGGCCTGAAATGCTTGGGCCCCAAGTCCACATCGTTTCACGATGGCAATCTCGTGGCAATGATTGTGGTGACACGACGACAACTGCAAAGTGTCAATATTTGAAGAAGATATCATTTCACCAGATCAAACTACCTCCTAACCAAGTCAAGTACACGTCGTTGGTGCAAGTTGAAGTTGATGTAAATGTTGACAAGGCTTGTTCACGCCCACGAGCTGGCGGCCCGTGCACACATCGCTCGATTTTGCACGACCGACCGATGATCGATGGCCAAGGCATAAATACCACGAGTTAAATTATTACAAAGTGTTAGTCGGTAGATCTGAGTTTCTAATGGGCTGCCAGTTGCAGCAACCCGGGGGGACTTGTGAGCAGTTGCATCTCCGGGTGTAGAGCCATCAGGTCGTGGTCGTGCGAGTGCCGAATGTACGCGTGGCTCATGACCTGGACCATGCTCCATCGCTCAGCAGGGTCAATCACAAGCAAGTTCTCGAGCAAGTCCATGGCGTCGGCAGGGATGACATCGTCCACGTGCCACGCCGCACAGAGCGCGCGGCATCCGTTGGTGGCGACAAACTGCATCGACGGATCGGACGCATGGGACGATTCAAAGGGCGGGTTGCCCGTGACCAACATGAACAGCATCACGCCCACGCTCCACACGTCGGCCTTGGACGGGTCGAACGCGCCGGATCGATGGATTTCCGGGGCCATATAGAACGGCTTGCCGGCCATTTGTTGATTCCGAAGGATCGCATCGAAGGGAGTAGCCGAGCCAAAATCGCTCAACTTCAACATACCCGCGTCCGTCACGAGCACATTCTCGAGCGACAGGTCGCCGTGGGCGATGCCTTGCTTGTGCATGTAGTGAACCGCGTCACAGATGCCAGCGAACGATGCCTGCACCAGGGGCGCTGCCAGGCGGCGATCTGGGGCATTTTCCACGAGGCTGAACAGCTCGCCTCGACCGCAGTGCTCGAGCACCAACGTGTCAAAACCATCGGCTGCAAAGTCGTCCAGCAGGCCAAGGATGTGGCGGTGACCGCCACCGTCGCACAACCGTCGATGGATGCGCCGCTCCAACGACATGTCCGTCGATGGCGCCGTGGACAGAAAACGGACTTGAATGCGCTTGAGGACAACGTGCTGGCCACTTTGCCTATCCAAGCAGTGCAGCACTTGGCCCGTGGGCGTCGTCGCGACTTCGTGCACGACACTGTATCGCTGATGCATCCTGGCAAAGTCCAATTGAGAAATGATCCAAGTGAGATGTGTAGTAGGTTGCTCACTTGGATAAAATCGCGTCGTGGGTTCAACCAGCGTTGTCTTTGCGTAATTCACGTTAGCCCACTGTAGGTTGACGTTGGGTGTGTGATACGGTCGTATACACCGAATGTGTCACCATGACCGATCCACGAGTGGCTGAAATGCTGTACGAAACCCACGATGATTGGTCGAAACTAGTTTAGTCCTGATGTCCCAGACCAAGATCACCAGGTCAAGGTGTTACCTATGCGAGTTGGGCTACTTTAATGACATAAGCCAGGTCGGGGCAAATGCAACAACAACCACCCACTTGTTGAAGTCCAACACTGTACTACACGGTATGCAGCTCAACTTGATGAGCTCATCAGGTAACCTGCGTTCTTATGGGAACCAGATTACTGTCAGCTGCTGCAGCACTCCAATACTAGTACTCGAACGCACAAGAGACGAGTATGTGATTGCACGGTCAACGTTAGTACACAGAGAATTGAAGAGTGTTTCGTTATCTGAAAATAATTACATGTCTGTCGACGGCTACCTATGTATACCGTATGGTATATATATATCCGTGGCCAAGAACAAACGCAGTGATAGTGCGGAGTCGTCGATGTGATCAAGACCACGAGGTCCGCCCCAATGCAATCGACGGCCACGCCCAAGTTGGAAGTTGGCATCATATGCAGCCCTGTGGAGACATTCAACTGCGACTTTGCCCGTATGATGTGCTAAATACTTGTAGCACCACGTAGTATATGGTTGACTCTTAATTGGTGCTTCTGTGGATGTTGAAGGAAAAACAAGACATTCAGTCTAGCGCCTTCAGTTACGAGTATTAATACTCCGGCGCTACCATTACGTAGACAAACTAGTACTAACGTTACACCTTTTTTCGGTTAATTTGAGGAACTCATAGAAGGAATTTGCGGCGGTTCCACTTCGTTCGTTGTATATTCGTTATATTTCGCCTGCAACCAAGAATATTTCAAGCGACATTCCTTATGTTTGCCACATAACGTTAGCAGTTTTATGACCAATCATTGACTTTGTGTGAAATGTGTAACGTTACCAATCAAAAGAGCAGAATCTTGGCTATAAGGTCATATAATTATACTTGTATTGCCTTCTTCCGAAAACAGCGTGTGTATTCATTCTTCAAATTAAATCAGCAGCACAACCCAAAATTTTCAAATGTTCACCGGACTTGAAGAATGTAGGGAGATTGTCTCAAATATATCGAAAACAAGAGGTGTCTTCGGATCTATCAAACGCGCTCGTGGCTCACATTTCGCGAAATTCGTTGAGTGCATCGGCAACCGAACCAAAGCACAACTTTCACTGACCAGTGACACAAGTTTTCAGGTGTGAATGACGGATGTTCCTTTCTAGGTAGCATCAACACGTTGCTTAGAAAAGGTCGTCATTATCAACCGCATCGTCCAAGGTGAGTCCATATACATTTAACGACCTTGTCCAACTAAAGCCGTGGTGACCTTGCAGTACCAGGTGGGGTTGCGAAAATTAAAATATGTAAAACGGTATTTTAGGGTCTAATTATACAGTCTTACTTATTAATACCTGGGGATGCTCTTATACATACTAGTAGTGCAATTAGTGCATCAGGATATAGTACGTAGTACTAGTCATCCAGCCCACGCCAGTTAAGAAAGATTGCGGTAATGTCGAATCATGTTTTGCAATTCCACGGATCTTTGACTTGTACTGTATGAACCTGACGGAGGGTGCGACTTGCGATGACCAACTCGACGATGACATGCCACCGTGTATGGTTCACAATGTGTGGCCTTCCGCTCCAACGAACTCCAGATACAATGGACGACAACTAGCGATCATGAACGAGAAGTTTGCGAATTGAAGGAACTGCAAGAAGTATATCGTTGTGGGGTATCAAGGGCGTGAAGTGCATAGTCCATTTTTGCTTGGTCACCCAATAATTGGGTGGGGTGTCTCGAGAAATTGTAAGAAATTTATCGTAGAAACCTTTCGGAATCTGTTTAATTCAGAGTCGCGATTTGAACGTTGCTGCAACTTGTACTCCCAGTGGCGAAACGATGTCCATTTCCGAATGTTATCCGGATATTTGGTCGACTTCAACGCCACAAAGTGCCTTGTGAACACAGATCCAAGATCAAAGCAATGCTGAATGTAGCTTGTACCAATGGTAAGTGAGTATATTGGCGACCCTTTCGCCCTCAATGCATTTGATAGACTTTGTTCTGAGGGTTCCATCTTTTGGCCGACAGGGAGGTCATCATGATGAATCAACATGCCGATCTTTAGGTCGTGAGTGATTGGCTCGGCAAAACCCAGGTTGTTTTGCCCGATTGGCTTGAATTTATGAAATCTAATCGTTTAAACGTAAATAGTCCGGATAATGTTGTATATCCGGATAGACCTTCGAGGGCAGAATTTCGACCAATCCGATTGCCTTTGACGAAGCGCGATGTTCTTCCGATATGTATGGAAGATAATGGCAAAATCAAACTTTCCGCGCGGTGGAGATGGAACAACTTCCGCAGTCGACGCTTCCGATCCTGACGATCCGTGATTCTGTGCTCTTCCCAGGCGCGTACATGCGCATTGCCGTCGGACGCGAGAGCAGCCTTCGCTTAGTTCAAGATTCCCTCTGGGACGCGTTCCACCGATCCCTCGACTCGGCGCAGATCAAGCCTGTGCTGCTTGGCGTGTTCACGGAGCACGGCTTGAAAGAGAATCACACGCTCGGCCAAGTAGGCACCGTGGCGCGCATTATCCAGCTTCAGCGGTCGCGATCGAACCAGACGTTTGATTACTCGATGCTGATCCAAGCGTTAGCGCGCGTGAGCATCGTCGAGGTGACGCAGTCGGACCCGTTTCTCGAAGCGACGGTGCAGTTAGAAAAAGACACCTTCGACGGCAAGACCAAGGTTCCGTTGCAGCAGCTCATTTCCCAAGTGTCGTCGGGGCTGTCCCTCGGAAAGTCCATGCAGCTGATCGCGCCGCGCGTCCAAAACGACCCGAACATTGCGTCGAAACTGAGCGTGTGGTTGGACATGCTGGCGGCGCATATCCAAGCGTCTGCGGCTGAGAAGCAAATGGTGCTCAACGCCATCAACGTCATTCATCGCTTGGAGCTGTTGTGGGCGATGCTACAACACCACAAGGGCAAGGGGGCGGGACAACGCTTGACGATCAAACCACAGCCCATGACTGCCGCCGCCGCCCTCCGCGACACTGACGACAACGCCAAGGCGAATGACGACGACGACGACGTCCGGTCGCTGGAGAAGAAGATTCTGGCGCTGAAGCCGCACTTGTCGGACGAAACCTTCCACATGGCGATCCGCGAACACCGCCGCCTCAAGCGCATGAACGCCAACCAGCCCGAGCACCACGTGATCTTGACGTACTTGGAATTCTTTTGCGCGCTGCCGTGGGCCAACGCCGACACGGACGCCGAGTCCATTTCTTCTTCACCATCGCCATCTTCGCTCGACTTGAGCGCCGTCCAAGCGCAGCTCAACAAGGATCACTACGGTATGCAAAAGGTCAAGTCACGGCTCGTCGAGTACATGGCCGTGCGCAACTTGACCATGCACAACCCGAAAACGCGCACCAAGGGGCTCATCCTGTGCCTCGTGGGGCCGCCTGGCGTCGGCAAGACGAGCCTCGCGCAGTCGATCGCGACCGCCACGAACCGGACGCTCCAGCGCCTGGCGCTCGGCGGGGTCTCGGACGAGAGCGAGATCCGCGGCCACCGCAAGACGTACATTGGCGCCATGCCAGGCAACGTGCTCGTGGCGCTGCAGCGCGCCGGCGTGTCCAACCCGCTGATTGTGCTAGATGAGATCGACAAGCTCGGCGTCAAGGGGCACTCGGCCAACAACGCCGTCGCCCACGCGCTGCTCGAAGTGCTGGACCCGCACCAAAATGATTCGTTCAAGGACCACTACCTGAACGTCCCGTTCGACTTGAGCCGCGTGATGTTTGTCGCAACCGCGAACTCGCTCGACACGATTCCGCGGCCGCTCTTGGATCGGATGGAAATTGTCCATATTGAAGGCTACACGACCGTGGAAAAGCTGGCGATCGCAGAGCAGTACATTGTGCCGCGGCAAGTGACGGACCACGGGCTCACGGCGGCGCCGCTCGAGTTTACAACCGACGCGCTGGAGTATGTGATTTCGCATTATACACGGGAGGCGGGGGTTCGGGATCTGCAGCGAAAGGTAACCTCGTTTTGGCTGTGTGTGTTTCATCCTATAGTGTGGCTGAGATAATGGATGAGGGGGGGGATTGATTGCATGTTTAGATTGGATCGATCTGTCGACATGTAGCAGTGCAAGTAGTGAATGGACAACCCCCCGTGGAAGTGATTGGCGTCGAGATGGTGCAAGACGTGCTCGGCCAAGAAACGGTGCGCAATGACGTGGCGTTGCGAGCGGGCGTCCCGGGGGTGTCGACAGGGCTCGCGTGGAGCAGTGCGGGCGGGTCCATTTTGTTTGTCGAAGCGTCTGCCGTGACCTCCACGAGCAGCCGCGACGCGTCCGCCCCTGTTCCCATCCAGCTCACGCTGACTGGAACCCTGGGCGAGTGCATGAAAGAGTCGGCGCAGTTGGCCGTCACGTGGCTCAAAGTGCACTTGCCGGCGCTACACCCCGTGGATTTCACCGCCGTGAACGAGTTCCATGTCCATTTCCCCGAAGGCGCGACCCCGAAAGACGGACCGTCCGCCGGCGTCGCCATTGTGTGTGCATTGGTGTCGGTACGAAAACCAACAAACACTCGTTCGACATGCATCCCCCCCCTCGCTTTAACGACCTCGTGTATGTAGGTGGTGACCCAGTTGGTGGTGCCCGTGGACTTGGCCATGACGGGCGAAATCACGTTGCGCGGCGTGGTCCTGCCTGTGGGGGGTATCACGCAAAAGGTGCATGCGGCCGCCCGCGCCGGCATCTCGCGGGTGCTGCTGCCGCTGGCTAACCGAAAAGACGGCGACTCGGTGCACGCGAGTGTGCCGTCGGTCGAGTTGATCTATGTGCAGACGATTGCGGACGTGCTCCAAATTGTATTTGGGCTGCCAACGCATTCCAAGGATGATGCTAAAATTGTGACCAGTAGTAGTACTAGTAGTAGCCCCAGGCGCACGAGTCGGTTGTAATATATATATACATGGAAAGGGTGGTGGATTTATAATGTTGTTAGTAGTCGTTAACGCGAGTCTCACGGGGGTGTGGTGAGCGTCGAGATCGTTCGTAGTGGTGGCCATGAAGGCTAGAAGGACAAGGGCGTAAACGAGTTGGACACGTACGGAAAGTACTCGACGGCGGCGGCCGCCGCGCTGTCGTCCACGGCGGCAAACTGCGGCGGCTGCAGGTGCTCGTAGCGTTTGTCCAGCGCTTGGCGGAGCTTCTTATCGCGGCCGGCCTTGGGCTTGAACAGCATCGCCACAAAGTTGACGGGCAGGCCGTAGCGGAGCACCGACTCGACGAACACGCGCACGGCCTTGACATGCATCCACGCGATGAACGTTTCCCCAAAGTGGGCTTTGCACCATCGCAGGAGTCCCGAGTAGAGCCGGTTCACCTGATCACGTCATACATATATATCAGTGAGTGATCACGTCATCCGTACGTACGTACCTCGACTTCGAGCTCGGCAACCAGCGTTTCGTTGGTCGCGTGGGAAGTTGGGTCAAAGGTAAAATCGCGCGCCATGAAGCGCTTTTCGCGCGCCGCGAGTTTGAACTTTTCCACATAATCCAGCAACGTGCCCGGCTCAAAGTTGCCGTCTTGGTCGTACGACCCCGACTGGTACTGTCCCTTGAGGATCGTCACCGTGTACAAGCACGCGTCGCCTTCTTCCAATAGCTTGCTATATAGAGGAACACATCCATGTATGACGTGGCATCACGTCCATGCACCAACGAAAACGAAGGGTTGTCGGTACCGAGACGAGTGGGGGACGACGGGCGAGCCCTTGACGTTGCCGCGCGAGTGCTTGGGTCCGAACTCGGCAATGTCGTCGCCGATACTCGTGTACTCTTGTAGCCACACTGCTTCTTGCGACCTGGAATATATGATAAGAGAAATGGCCAAGATTTGACAAAAGGAGCGTACTTTGGCACGACCACGACCAGCGTTTGGAGGTACTCGGTGTTGACAAAATCGGAGGTTTTGACAATATCCGGCGTCAAAATATCCGCGAGGTTCGTCACAAGCAAGTTGCCGCTGTACAAAATATGTGACATGGTGACATATATATTTTGAAGAATATGTGACATGGTGACATATATTTTGAAATGTATATATAGTGGTGGTGATTTTTATGTACCCTTTTTTCTTTTGGTGGAGAGCCAATTGCTGCTTCTTTTCCGTGTACCGAGTGCTCAGTTGCTTCAACTCTTCCTCGATCTTGCCCACGGACTAGCATCCAACGAGGGATGAGTACAGGGAGAATGGATGGTACCTCTCGTCATCGAGTGGCAAGGAGAGTGGAAGGACGCACGGATTGAATGATGGACACAATCTCAGACAGCGGACGACGGTGCGGGTGCTTGGCTTCGTCCCACGAGAAGTGATGCAAGTACCGCTCCACGGGAACTACAGACACACATGATCCTCCATGAGACACGGGAGAAACGATTGCATGGTTGGAAGTACCGCCATCGACAGTGAGCGCTTCGCCGCCCTTGTTCAAATCGTGAAATTGACGTTCAATCTTGCGCACGGCCCCTTCTACGACGAGGTCGACGCGATGCATGTCTTCACCCAGCGTCTGCGGCAGCATAGTCAAGAGATGGAAGTTGAATCGGCCAACCTACCATTAGCGAGTCCAACGTGCCAACGAGCAAGTCCGACGGCAAGTCCAAACGGTACAGGTCTAAGATTGGCAAACTTGCCACGTGAGCCAAGCACATGTATGCATGCAGGGACGACGCATCTACCGGCAAAGTCATTCTTGGAGGAGGCTGTCTCAGCCTTCAGCTCATTGAAGGTCGCGTCGCTAGACTTGTTGCCTTCATTCGGCACTGCCACAACCCAATAGCTCATGAGGAACGAAGCCTTCTTGTTGTAGTCAGAGGTGGATTTGGTGTAGTCATCCGGATAATCCTAGCTGCCTTTAGGGGTTTGGAATTATATTACACTGCACCAGATATCACAATCAAATGTATTTTAAAGGAATTGGGCTGAGATATCCGGATGATACCCTCTGTGCGGCTGAAACGGCCTTAATTTTAGCCAATCATTCACGTCCAAAGATCGCAGTGCATTTTGGCAGCATGCATGCCGCATCCTTCGACCGTGAAGATGGAGGGGCATGTCTTTAACAAGCTCTAGTAATACTTAAAATTCTTGGTCATCCTCGACGTCGTCGGCGTTCTTGCGCCGCTTGGCGGCTCGTTGGCCGTCTATGTCATCCATGACATCACTCTATCTCACGATCGATCGATCTTTACCTTGAATGGAATTGAGATCTCGCGAAGCCTTGGCGCGCAGCGTATCCAAGTCGTCTGCATCTTCAGCCCACTCCAAGACCAAATGGCGGCCGTACAAGTGCGACGACGACAGCGCCGCGAACGCGCTCTTGGCTTCGGCTTCCGTGAGGAACTCGATGAATGCAAACCCTGCGAATCGTGCATGTCGTCAACCTCCATTTCACTCAATTGCACCTTACCTCGATGTTTGCCGTCAAATTTCTTGGGCATGCGCACCGTCTTGAGCTGGCCGAACGCGGCAAACAGCTCCCGGACGTCTTTGACCGTCGCTTCAAACGCAATGTTGCGGCAAATGACTTTGGTTTTCGGCACATTCGCCGCAGATTTGGCAGCTTGTGCCTTTGCCGGCTGCAATTGCTTCCTCGATACTTTGATGTCCATCGCATGTCCTTCCAACAAGTTGCCTACGCAGCGCGCATCCTTGAGCATTCTCATCCTCATGGCATCATCCCCTTGATGGCGTCCATATGTCGTCATGCGTCCTTACCCTGCAGCGACTGCATGGCCTTCTTTGCCGCGGCCGCCGTGCCGAACTCGACAAACCCAAACCCCATCGACAAGGTCAATTTGCCGCTGCGGTCCTTCTTCCTCGCAATCGTCACTTTGCGCAACGTGCCACACTACTCCCAGTTCACATTATCCAGTCTATATATATATATATATATATATATATATATGTATATAATATGTATATTGACACAAATTTATAACCACAAGAATTCATTTTAATAATATAATAATACCAGCCCCAAAACACCAATATATTACGACCATCCCGTTGAAACCAAAATAAATCCCCATCCCAACCAAGCCAAAATAAACCACCAATCTATTGTCGATTTGATATACATATTTGGGAAGGGGGTGCAATCGAATCGCGCCGACTAAACCGATCCACAATCGATCTGATTGGTTGAATTTCATTGAGAAGGTTTTGATTGGCTAATAATGTTGAGCTCATCTGAGGTAGCCAATCAAATCGATTTAAATTCCAACAAGAAACCACAACACAATGAAATTTCACTCGAAAGCACCAAAATATGATATGCATGCATACACGCGCTTGTAATGAAATAGAAATATAGAAAAAGGATTGCAAAAAACACAATATCCCACCTTTTCAAACGCTGCTTTCAACACAGCCTCGGTGGTGGTAAAGTTGAGATTCTTCACACACAGGGTGTTGTCCAGTTCAGCGACGTTGTCCGCTTCAACATCGGGGCGAGTCGCCGCGGCTGGTCCGTTGCTGGCGGCCTACGTCGTCCGTCCCTGAGTCGTTTAGCTTGATGGAGATGAGGCTGATATTACCTTGAGCTTGTCGCTGTAGGTCATGGTCGCTGGGGCTTTGAACACCTTGACGGGCGCCCACTCGAGGTACAGCGGCACATGCTGGAACTTTTTGTACGCGAGCGTTCGGAACGCCTTGCGGGCCTCCGACGCCTCCATAAACTCGACCAGCGCCATCGTTTTCGACGGCGGCAGCACGAACCGAGCGAGTTCGCCATACGTTCGGAACAGCTGCGCCAACGCGGTTTCGTCCGTCGAGAACGGCAAGTTCTTGACCAACAGCACCGTGCTGCTGCGCTCGGCGCTCGACTTTTTCGTCGCCGCGCCTTCCATCACCTAACAACCACAAAAAAATATATTTTAAATATAATATGCGTTCGATATATATTCCCCCATCCAGTCGACAATCGCAGCAACGTATTTGAAAGAAAAAATGTCGACACGTTTTGAAAACAAATCAATAATATCGTGGAGTGTTTGTATTCTAAACTGGAGCGACATGGATATTTAATTCGTGTATGGTTTATATTTAAAGATAAATATTATTTATTCGTACTCTTTTAGATACGTTTTGATACAAAGTAATTAATTTTAGAGAAATACAAAATAATATTTATAAACTTTATAAGGAATCAATCGAATGTATAGACGAATCGGCCAAAAAGAATGGAGCCAATCAGATTGCAGGAAACCTTCTTCAACATCTAATTAGTGTGAAACTGAAAGGAGCATACCACAGAACCACGTTTTACATGCAAAATTCAGTATAACGAATCGATCGATAGATTTGGAGAATCAAAAGTCAACCAGATTTTTGGGTAAATGGATAATAACGGTAGGTACTTTTAAGGAAGATTAGGTAGGTAGATAGGTAAGTAGGTACCTTGACATCAACGCCTTCTTGTTCAAAGAACGATTGGTTTTCCTGTAACAAGATGGTCTCGCCGATGGCAAGTCGCACGGCCATGTTGCCCGATTCCTTGTCCAATATATCGCCCTTATTCACCTAACCACAAGAGAAGCAGCAGCCTCATGTGAGAGCTTCATCCATATTAACCACCAGCAACACCACTTTCGTTGTCCAAATCATCGAGCCTCGACGGCTTTTCCCAGTCTCGTACCTGCAACCGCGCCGCCAATGCATCGACGGTGGCATCCCCTCGAATGTACGAGGCATTCCACCCGACTTTGGTGTTTGCGAGGGCCTTGCGCTCCGCCTCCTTCCTTTGCTTGTACGTGAGCGTCGACGTGTCCTCCACCCCCACGGGCTCGAGCTTGGCCTTGGCCGCCAATACATGGAGCAGTCGTCCCTGGAACGCTTTCCCGTCCAGCGCCGCGCGCGCCGCGTCCGCCTCGGCCATCGATTGAAACAGCACAAACCCAAATCCCTTGGTACGCTTGTTGTCGTCCAGGGGCATGTGCAGCTCCACAATCGTACCGTACCCGGCAAACAACTCGGTCAAGTCTTCTTCGACGCAGCTGTACGGAAGATTCCGGATAAATAGCCGTGCCGACGGCGCCACTGGCGTTTCGTCGTCGTGGCTGGGTTGGTTTAGTTTGGTCACGGCGTCGTCATCTTCGCTATTGTCATCGCTATTGTCACTGGCGTTGTCTTCTTCATCGTCACTGTCTGCGATACGGCGCACGGTTTTGGCTTTTAAAAATTCCAAGTCGGACATGGTCTGTTTCGATGATGCTTTGGATTTGTCCATGCTGTCGTCGTCACCACTTTCGTCATCGGTGTCGTCACCACCCGTCTTGGCCTTCTTGGCTGATTGCTTGTTGACATCGTGGATCGTGTCCAAGTCCTCGTACTCGTCGTCCGAGTCGTTGCTGTCGTGCAGAATAGACTGGATCGTCTCTGGACCGGCGCCACTCGCCGCGTCCACCACGTCGTCGTTGGCCCAAAACTTGGTCTTCGAACGAGGCTGCATGGTCTCGACAAACTCGTCAAACCCGCCGGCTTCCTTGGACGGCTCTTTGGCCTTCTTCGCATCTGTTGTTGTCGTCGACTCGTCGCCGTCGGCACCCTCCACGACTGGCGCTTGCTTTTCCTTGTACCGTGAACTGCCTTTCGAGTACTTGCTCCATGGACGGTCCAGTTCGTCCGACTCGCGCGGCTGCGCCACTTTCACGTTGATCCGTGTCGTGTCGATGAACGATTTGTCAAAGAACTTTTGCGCCGTCGTGGTTTGAGTCTCGGTTTTGAACCCGACAAACCCAAAGCGCCGCGACTTGCCGTCCTTGGTCTTGACCACACACGCGTCCGTCACCTGGCCATGTGCGGCGAAATGCTTGCGCAGCTTCTCGTCATCCACGTACAAGGGCAAGTTCTGCACAAACAACCGGGTGCTCATGACAAATGTGTATTGCAACTTCACTCCACCAATCCAAGTTTCCACAGACCAATCACACTGCACGTACGAAGCCCTACATTCCTAAATGAATGATGGTCTTTAAATGATTCATTTATTTAGTATTCGTTTAGATCATAGATCAATAATCTCTTGTATTTCCCGCCACAACATATCCGGATACGTAACGCCACGAAAAAGTGCATTTGCCATGGGGTACTACAGCGTCGACGAGTTGCTAGCGGAAGAGGAGCGCGTGCAGTGCGTGTTCCAGACCGAGGCGGCTGGATGTGGTTACATGGATCCTTCTACGGAAGGCGACGATATCCTGCAAAACACAAAGCTGGAGCTGCCGGTGTGGCTGGCGACGGCGTTGGCGAAACATGGAACCGTCGACGTAAGTTCTACTACCGTCAGATCAAAACCAACGATGCGAGCTAACGATGGGGGTGTATGTACTAGGTGCTTGTCCCTACATGCCTCAGTGTACGCTATCGCAATGTGATCAAAGCAGGTCCGTCGGCGGCGAATCTGCGCGACATGAATCCATTCTTTTTCGAGTTGGGGAAGGCCGTGCTTCCGCTGTTGACGAACGAGGCCGACGCCCAAGAAATCGAAGACATCTTGCGTGTGGCCTTCGGCGGCGAGCGGTACAAGCAGATACTGGACCAGTCCATGAACTCGTACGACGAAGACACGACGGAGTTTACACGAAAGCTCACCGAGTTTGAAAAGGACCTGTACGCTGCGGGAGTCAACGACGCGCAGGACTTTCTTCGGTGGCGGGAGCGCAAGAACGACATCATCGAAAGCGCCAAGGTCACTCAAATCAAGAAACGCAAGCGCAAGCACATTTAAGCTGAAACGTTACTAGTTATTCACGCATATTCAGTCGTCGTTGTTGTGACAAGCCACCACCGATCGTCATGTCGACGGATTTGATCGTCGAGTCTCGCCCAGTCAATTAATCAATTTGTATCAAATTGACAATATACCATGGGAATAAGACTTTTATAATTTCATTCATTTGACGGAACCGATCCACAATTGATCTGATTGGTTGAATTTCATTCAGAATATTTTGATTGGTTAATAATTTTGAGCTCTTCTGAAGTAGCCAATCAAATCGATTTAAATTTCAACGAGAAACCACACAGTAAATGAATATTTTCGTTTTTCCTGTTTGTATTTTTAGGGTACTTTTCCAGCTTTTCATGCATATTTGTGTGTTTAAGGGGCCAAAGTGCCGTCAGCGAAATTGCACCTTGAGCACCATGAACCGTCCGTCGACGGGGTCTTCTTCGACGTCGCAAATCGTGCGCACAATATCCTTGAACAGCGACTTGTCATGCGCCGTCACGAGCAGCTTCTTGAGTTTCTTGAGTAAGTCCCTCGTCTTCATGCGCCCGCCGTACCGGATCAGCTCTTCTTGGATCAGCGCCTCCGTCAACTTGGGGGCGGCCGACGGTTTCGATGGGGCGCCAAGTTGGGGCTTCTTGGCATGTCCCTGCTTGTCCCCATCCCCGTCAAACTTGCGCTTCTCCGGATCGGTCGCCGCCGACGCGGCACCGCCGCTCACGCCTCCATCCGCCGCCACCACGAGAGGGACCGCTTCCTTGACGGGGTTGCCGTAAAAGTCAAAGCGCTTGACGACCGTCGTGTCCTTGTCCTGCTTGCTCTCGTCGTCGTCGCTGTCGTCCCGATTCGCGTCGGCGGAGGCGGCGGTCGCGGCGGTGCCCGCGGGGTTCTCGCTCTGCTCCTTCGTCCGCTTCACCAGATCCTGGAGCGCCTTTCCTTCGTCCGTCAGTGGCTTCTTGGTCGCATCGTCTTCGAATTCGTCCTCGCTGCTCTCGGATGCGATGTCGTTCTTGGTCTTCTCCACCTCTTGCTGCCCCTCGTCGTCACTAAAGATCTCGGTGAAATCGCCGCCGTCGTCGCCTGTGGCGTCGACCTCGCTGCCCGATTTCTTGGCCATGGCTCCCCCGCGAGCGCGCCGCGGGGCCTTGGGCTCGGCAAAGATCGTGCTGCCGCCTTCGTCGTCCTCGGTGGACTTGACCGTGCGCAACGCGCCAGTGATCATGGACGTCGACGGCGCCACGTCGTTTCCGTCCTTCCGCTCATGCTTCATCACCCAACGCTCCACCGCGCGCTTCTTCTCCACGGCCATGGATTCCGCTTCCAGCAACGTCAACGTCGGGTACGTGATCGGTTTTTTGAAACGGAACCAGTCCTCCACGGGAAACATCTGGAACTCGTTCTTGTTCGGGACCTTCACCATGAGCATGTACGACGACGTCACTCCACCTTCCACCGTACCGGAGAAGAGCGTCTTCGAGTCGTTCTCTTGGATGATCCAGTTCTTGATGCGGTTGTCCTTTCGGCGTCGGCGCCGCTTCTTCCGCAGCGCGGGGTTCCATCCCTGTGGCTCTTCCTTCACCTCCTCGTCATCCTCAATCTCACGCTCGGGTTCCTTGAACATCTTGATCGGCTGCACACATTTGGACAACGTCGGCATCTGACCTTCGCTGAAGCGGCCGACGTTGTACTTCTTGATCGACGGAATCAACCGCAAAGTGTACTCCTCGTCGAAAACCTCCCCGGCATTGTTCGGCGCAGGAAGTGAGTTTGGACCTCTTCCCACCAGCGACGCCGGGCCGCGGGAGCTCCCGACGCCAAGGCGACGCGGCGCCGCATCAGGTTTCCGTCCCAACGGAATCATGTATCAACCGAAGGTGAAAAACGAAAATGAAACTGTGTGGTGGAGTAGGTCGACATTTTGAAATAAAACGCATCCAACCAATCATATACCTCCATTTCTAGCATTATAGCCAATAATATTCCGATTATGCCATTCCTGCATATCCACATTCGAATGTCGCTTCTTGCCGCCGACTACAGCGACAGCGACAGCAGCAGTGCGTCCGACAACGAAGAGGTTGCGCCAGTGGTGCTTCCTGTGAAGAAGACACCTACCATCGTACTTCCGCGTGTGGACGACATCTTCAAGGAAACCAAAACGCCTTCGTTCCTCGTTAAGCCGAAGAAAGCCAGCTTGGACACATTCGACATCGACAAGGAATCCCTCACAAAGCTGCCGCCCCCGCCTGTGGAGTGGTCGCCGTCGATCGCACGTGTAGATCACGAGGATGAACAGACAGCTTCGAGCGCAAAGGTAGGGTCCATGTATCAGTTCCCTGGCGTCGATCAAGGCATTCCAAAGCGCACGAAGCATTTACCCCGCCAGCATCAGAAGAACGCGAGTGACCACCACGGACATAAGAGGAAAGGGGCAAATGCTGACACGGACAAGGCGAGCGGGAAGGACCGCGTGAAGCAGCAGCGGCTCAAGGGCCAGTCGGGCATCGGCAGCGACTTCAAGTCATGGAAGTCGGAGACAGAGATGAAAATGCGCCAAGGGTTTGACTGAATACAAATCGAAACATGTTTCCTTGTTCCCAGCCTATTCTTCACTCTAGCCACATTATCGACTTCTTGTGATCGAAAAAGAAGGGACTCCGGAGTACTGAGAGTCTATTAATAATAAAATTACTACCTCCCATAGTAGTGCTATTAATAGTATGCAGCCGAGCTCAAATATATTTCCCTTTATCTGGGTATTTACGAAACAAACTACGAAACACACCAGACTTACTCCGAGTACGACGTTGCTACCATGTACAGCCTGCCAACAATCCGGTACACCCAGCAGCAATCACAGGCACGCTTCGCTCATACTATCACTGGCGTTGCAGATTGACTGAAGCAGTTCGGTGTTGGCACGACTGGAGACAATCAACTAATCCAACTGCATCAACTTCGATGTTGGTGACCCCAGGGACATGTCACTTAGCTCCAATCGAACAGTGTTAAATGCACTTCGCTACTGTACAGGTACAGTGTAACTTCATAATCATGATGTTTGTACTGCCAAGACGTCGACCGCCATGTAAATGAGGCACTGCATGCCGCGCACCTCGAGTGGCGCCATAACTTAACGTTAATATTGTTGTTGTGCTAACAGGTGAAATATTGTTGTTGTCATAAGAGGTCCCAGTGCACGCGGAGGTGATGTCCTTAGTCTTGAACACCGACTTTGTGAACAATGCCGCAAAGTATCTCTCCACCTAACGACTGTACTGCCTTGCGACTGCCGTCATTCTAACTAAACGAACGCGAGAGCAAAACAGTTCGTCTAACATGTGCATCACGTTGACTTTCCAGTAACTAGTTATTGTACGAAGTGTGAGGAGTCCGCCGGGATGCACATCATCGGGTCCAGCATACAGTCATGTTGCTGGGTCTCGAAGGTCCGCGCAGTGTCAAGGACGACCGTCTGTCCTGGCAGGAGTTCCCGCACATTTCCTCGCGTCGCGGACTTGCGCAGCACCAGATCCGCCTGGCGCTGCACCGCTTTGGTCAGCGAGGACGGCGCCAACGTCAAGTTGGCGAGCCCGACCACGCGATTCGGGACCACTTGGTCCATCTTGAAGTCCTAGTCGAGCATTTCCATGAACGAAAACCAACGTACCGCCGCTGTTATGCTGGTTGTACCACCACTTCTATGCTGGTGGAGGAGGTACTGTACTGTACGTGTAGCAGCGTCTGTGCTGTGGTTGCCTATGGTGGGGCGTGTTGATATCTGTCCACAGTAAATTACGTAGTACTACTAATAGTATGCATGTTTCGTGATTGTTTCACCATATATCTAAGATATATAAAATTGGAGTAGCCAATAGCGTGGATTCGTGATTCGATTCGACGGGGTCTGGAAATTCATCCACATTAGCAGTCTTCATTAATATTTTACTTCGAAGTACAGTAGAATTATTTTCTAAATCTTATCATTATATCATTCGTCAATCCGGCAAACCAAGTATCAATTGCTTGGGTATCTACAGTAGCTAGCTATATACAGTAAGTAGCTACATCATCATCGAGTCTGGCTATAACCAAGTACTACTGTAGTTAGTATATATATTATCGACTACTACCTAGATGGCATCAATGTCGAGTGGCGACAGCCGTCCGTCCTTGATCATGTCAAAGCCCCCCTCTTCCACTTCCTCCGTCTTCTTCTTCGTGTCTGCCGTTGAAAAATCCACCAAATCATTGGCCGTCCCCTGGTCTAGCACCTCCTTGGCATGGCGGCGCTCCTCATTGATCATCCCCCCCCCATCCTCTCGAGGCAGTCCCGCACTCGTGACCTTCTTCACCGTACCTTCGCGCACTTGCATCCACGTCGTCCACATCTCGTCCATGTCGCGCGGCGCTTGCTCCAGCAGCCATCCCATCTGCCGCCGAGTCGTGTCCAGCACCGGGTTGAACCCCATCTGCGTCGCCCCCGACCGCTGCCAGTGCAAGTCGAGCACCATGAATGCCATACTAAACAGCCGCTCGAACGCCCTTCCATCGTCATCGTCAAACACTTTCCAAAACGGCGTCCGGGACACCCGCTCCGCCACTTGCATGCTCAGGATCGTGTCGACCCCCGTCTCGGCGTGCAGAATCAGTGAGCTCGACGTCGCCGGCGCCGCGTCCAGCATGAGCAGCTTGAGCATCATGCGCATGACGTTTATCGCGGCCACGGGGAACGGGTACCGATTACCCCCCGAGAGGGCGTTCCGGCGGAGCATCGTCTGCGCCTTGTCCTTGTACTCGTGCACAAAGAACGCCAGACACTCGACGGACAAGAGCCCCCCGCCACGGAACCCCCCCAGCGGGTCCTTGGTGTGGAAGCCGCTTTGAAGCCACCGCGACGACCGCAGCAACGCCGCCACATCCACCGAGTCCGCCGCCTCTAGCGCCAAGTTGGCCGAGTAGTCGGCCGCCGTCTCGTCCAGCGGCAGCAGTCCGTCCCACAGTTTCTTGAGCACCGACACATGGTACGGCTGCGAGACGTCGACGGGCACGTCCAGACGCCCGCGGACGCCCTCCATCGTCTCCACTTTAGCCTGGAGCTTAGACCGCCGCGCCGTCAAATGCTGGCGGATGTCGTGAAGGATCGTCGCTTGGTGCACAATTAGCAGCTCCACGACGCCCGCACCTTCTTCAGCCTGTTGCTTCAACTTGCGCATCGCGTGGGCTTCCGCCGCTAGCCGGTCTGCAATCTCACTCGGGTATTCGTTGTACACCTACATACACAAACACGTCGTCATACACCACACAGAGAAACGTACGTTCTAGTAATACTAGTAGTACCGTGGACGGGAACCGATGCTTGACGGGGACGTGCCCTGCCACCGGAAAACGTCTGATCGCGGGCTCGTCCAGTTCAGAGAATCGGTACGTCCGTGCCGATCGCAGCAGCAGCGGCGCCAGCAGAAGACTCAGCGACTGCGGACTCAGGCCGTTCTTGGCACTGAATTCCGGCTCCAACGCCCGAGCAAACAAGTGCAAGAGGCGCTCAAGCACTGGTTTCACATACCACGGGAGGTCGTTCACGAGCAGCCGAAGGTGGCGGACGGCCTGCTTGTCATCGGGGGCTTTCGCGGCGGCCAAGAATGCGTCCGCGCGGTCCTCGGTGAGCAGGGGGTCGGGTAGTTCCCACAGGTACTGCAACAAGACCGAGATGACTTCGTGGGGGTCGATGGCCATACTTTTATGGAACCCGCCGAGCTCTTCGATGGCATCACGGAGGTCCAGCACGTGCTCGGACGCCAAGTGCACTTGAAATAGCCCCGGCGTCGCCAACTTCCGGTGCAAATAGCACACGCACGCCTCTACCACGTCCGGCAGGCCCAGCGACGTGTCGAAGCGCGCGAGGCCGCACAGGAACGGATTGCACACGACTTCGAGCAAGGGCGCGCCGAACACGTCGTACTCGGGGAGGCCGATCTCGAGGAAGCGCAGCACGGCCGACGCGGCGTCGTCCAGCGCTTGCGATGTTTTGGCCCGGCTCAGAACGGCCGCGAGGGGGTTCCCGTTCGTGGACTTGTCGAATTCGTGGTTGAGCTCGCGGTGCGACATGAGCTTGGCCGCGAGGAGGTTGCACTCGTAGTCTTCTCCCGATAGCCGCACGCGACCTTGCACCATGTCCTCGGGATCGATCAGGTCGGCGGGCGGCGCCACGGCGGCCTGTGCCATGGGCTTGGGCAGAGGCGTCAGGAACGGCTGGATGTCGGGCGACAGGTCCAAGCGCGGGTCGTTGACGAGGAACCCGAACGAGAGTGTGTCGAGGCCCTCAAGAAGCCCGAGGAACACTGCTACTTCGTCCTGCACGTAAAAAGGTAAAGTGAACAAAATTTGGAGATTGAGCTTTTGTACCTGTTGACGGAACAGGGCATGTTCGGTGAAGTACGACACGAGGAGGTCCTGGTTGGCCTCGTTCAGGGTCACCTTCATGCATTCGAGCAGGATGTGCGTGTTCAGGGCTTGGCGGAGGAAGGCGCGCACCTTCCCTTCGTCTTGATGGACATTCGACAGATCGTTGGCCGTGCGCACACACGCAAGGAAGCCGCGCACGTTGCGCGGTAGCTCGGGCTCCAAAGACGATGTCGCGAGCTGGACTGCTTGCTTAGACAAATTTGCGCTCCCGGCGCCATCCTCGCCGCACGCCATGCGCTGCTGGTGAATCGCACCCAGTCGAGTGCACGTCCACTTGAGCAGTCCGAAGAACTTGACCGATTGCTGGTCATCGTTCTCAACGCGCCGGAGGCCGTGCGAGAAGCACCTATCCAGCGTCGCGCACAACTTGGACACCGCCTGGAGGTCGTCGTTGAGGAGGAGAGGTTTCTTATGCTTGTCGTCATCAGTGCTCTCCATTGTGGCGGACGATGCGGCGTGCGTTTGCGCAACTTGTTGCTGAACCACTAGCTGCAGAACCTCCGCAACGGAGGACTTCAAGTCGTCGAGCATGACACCTCGCTGGCTTCGGCTGAGGAGACGTAGCTTGGCCTGGCGACGTTCCCTGTTAAATTTTTGTTCTTCTGTCTCTTCGACGTCGCTGGGAACACCCCAGTACGCACTCAGTTGCCGCCATAGGTCCATCTTGAGCGAGCTCAAAGCAAGGATCGAATGAATCGGCAAATGCAGAGAACGTCGAAAGATCGCTTCGGTTCATTGACGTGATTTCATTGGTCAAAATTTGGCCATTCGATTTTCGAAACACAGCCAACTTCGTAATCTTTTCAACCAATCCAAACACAAGACTATTTAGTGCGAATTCGTTGAGCTCTTTTGACTTAGATTCGTCAACGCATAGCCAGTGCACTTCAATGTGCAATGTCCGCCATTCCATACAGGTAGCGCCATTTTGAAATTGCCTTCAACATGCATATGGAGCTTGTGTCGTGGGTCATCTGCGCTGGGGTCAGCATGGTGCATGCAATTCCAACGCCGCCAGTCTCTTCGACATTCTTCCTTCAGCGTCAACTTGTTCATGAACACAACGTCCTCCGCGATGCCCACGACCTTCGCCCGATCGCCTGGAGCGACAGGTTGGCGTCAATCGCTCAAGCCCACGCCACTTCATGTCCACGCTACGACGTGAATCCCAACTTTGTAGACGGTCTCTTTGCCACGGTGGACCAGGTGGCTCCATGCAGCAGCATCGCATGGGAACACGACGACGACAACGATGGCTTCACAAACTGCTCTGGTCCTGCGTGGACATGGTATACCACCGGCGCGTCTCACTGGGACTACACATCGCAGTTGTGTTTGGAGGACACAACAAAGTGTAGATCCTTCACAAACATGCTCAGTCCATCCGTTCGTTCCGTTGGTTGTGGCTGGTCCACTTGCTCAGCTGCTCAATCCTCCAAGTTGTCCCTTGTGTGGTGTGTTTACGACGGCGCCCAAGCCTTCCCTATCATCCCCCCACGCTCCCTCGCGTTGAATGACTTGATGCAACGGTTGCCAGTACCGCCCCCACCATCCCCCCTGTGTCCCCCTCGCATCCGTCGATCCTGGGAAGCAACTTCTACAAACGATCAACACCTGTTTGTCCAAGCGGTGGCACTCGCCATGGATCGCGGGTTCCACCAACTCTTCGTGGACATCCACGCCGAAACGCTGGGCGAGGCGCACGACAGCTGCGTGTTTCTGCTGTGGCACCGCAAGTTCATCTTGGGGTACGAGAATATGCTGCGGTCGCTCGGTCGTCGATTCGCGTGTGTGACGCTGCCCTACTTTGACTACATCCAGCACAACCTCAACTACCTCCACGGCAAGTGCACGTCCCTCGAGTCGTGCTCGCCCTTCTTAGCCGGACTCGGGGGCTCCACCAGCGGCCATTTGAGCTCCCAGCCGCTCGCCGGGTTTGCGTTCAGCCACTTCAAGTGCGTCGACGCCTTTCCCGCATCCCATGCATGTGCAGTGCCTGGCTCCGACTGCATGCGCTGCATCCCCCGCGGCGCGTGGACGCGCACGTACTTCAACTCGACCGCGCTGTCGTTCACGTCCATCAAGCGCGTCTTGTTTGACGCCGATGACGGCATGACGGCGCTGTCCCTGCGCATCGAGCGGTCGCCCCATGATGTGTTTCACTTTACGCTGTCCGCGGCGCTGGCCAACTTCGTCGTGGCAGCGCTAGACCCCGTCTTTTACGGCCACCACGCCACCATAGACATTTTGGCGGCGATCCACCACCGATGCCGCGTCCGTCCACTCAAATTGACGAAAGAACAAGCCAAATTGCACCCGGGGAACTTTCAGGGATGTGTGATCAACAATACGATGGTGGTCAAGGCGACGTCCCCCGTGGGGTTGCGGCTGCCAGTCGACGGCGTGCCGACCAGTGTGGACGAGTACGCTGTCACGCGGCCGTGGTTTCAGCATGTGCCACTCACGTACGGAGACATTGCCGACACGACCAACTTGGGAGTGCACAGCTACCGGTACAACCTCACGGGGTTGTTGGGTACGTTGTACAGCCACTGCGACCACGCTGGCATGAATCACACCGCCAACATGGAGCTTCAAGCCAACTCGGAAGACTATGAGGATGATGACCAACACGTTGTGATGGACGTGACGGACGTAGACAGCCTCACGTTTCTCGCGTGGCGCTACGATGTGCTGGTGCAAGCGAGGGCGCAAGGTCTAGCCGACGCCGACGCCGACGACGAGATGGACAAGATGGTCGTGATGGTGTACGAGCACTGCTTGCCAGGGACGCACTCGGAGTACCCAGAGGACTTCAAAGCCATGTGGAAGATCCAAGGAGGCGAGCCGTCAAAGGCCATGTTGGACGGCGTGCTCAGCGGCGCCACGCCCATTCGGATTCAAGGATGGGCGGGTTTGAACCAACGGTACTTTGGCTGTACTGGCGAAAGAATTGATAATTCGATCAAGACGTCAATAGTGTAACGTCGTCAGTTTGCACTTGTTGTTTTTGTGCAAGACGCCAAGGTTTTAAATTGTTCAAGCGACACATCCAGACATACTATTAATAGTACTTGTGCGTGCACTTTCTATCGTTGCATGACGGTCATGTTTGGAGGTGAGTGGTTTAGTTGCCTGTACTATTGTTTGGCATAAAATGCACTGCTGCAAGGTGCTCACATGACGTGTAGCGACGTCACTCCAGTGGCGTCATAGGGTTATCGACCAATCAGAACAGACGTCACTGTTGACGTCAGTTTACGACCAAGCTCGATTGGCGTGCGGCGTGCTTGGCCATGGACACCAGAAGTTCCTTCTGCAGAGCGTACGTACTGTATGTATAGCATTAGATATAGTATAGTCAGAGTAGTCATGCATGTAGATTACGCCAATCAATCAGTTTACAATTTCCTCTGCGTTATCAACTCCCTACAGTTGGTAGCACGCACGGTTGACAACAAGGACTTACTTCCAAGGGCATAGCTCGTAGGTTGTAAGGTTACTCTATCTAGCTCAGGCGAAGGTTCAGTTGCGACCTTTCACGGCGGCTAGTGTTGAGTTAGTGATCGCTCAGGTGTTCTTTTATTACGACGGCACTCTCCTTAGTATCCGGCATCAGGGTCGGTAGAGGTTGAGTCGACAGTTAATAAAGACATTTGTTGCGTGTGAAGTTTATTGTCACCGGACCCCCATTTTATGGGCAAGAACAAGAAGGCCGCGAAAGAAGCGGTTGCGAGTGGACGCGAAATCAAGCGCGAGCGAAACGATCTTAAGCGAAAGGCTACCCAAGTACCTGACCGCCTAGTTTCGTTTAAGACCATCCAATATCTCGACGAGCCTGACGTTGAGAATTTGGACGCGATAAGAAAGAGCCTCAGTGAGAAGCTCCAAGCAACCCAGCGAGTCGACGAGCGTTTCAAGCGGGATCTGGTCCGACTTAACGGGACGGTCGGAAGTATCCGGATTAAGTGCGTTTTGGACAAAATCGTTGAAGTCCAGACAAATTTGGCAGTTGCGTCAAGTTTTTTGGAAGAAGAAATCAACAGCGCACTTTTGTCAAAACCGGTTCCGGTTGATTCGAGCCTGATGATCTCCAAGAGCGTTTGCGCGATCGCTTGTTCACGCTTCAGCAGCGCTCGTGCAGCAACTTGTTCGAGTACGTGGAGAAGTTCCGCAGAGTGTGCACAGACGTTCAAGAGTTGTCAGAGTTAGACAAAGTGACGTTTTTACCCGTGGTTTAAAGCTCAAAACCCGGGAGGAAGTGAAGTACCGGCAGTGCAAGTCGTTGACGAGTGCGATCAAGGTAGCTCTGGAGTACGAGCGAGCACATGTGGTGTCGTTGTCGCAGCGTCATGACAAGTCCATCCGCGGTGGTTGAGCGGATGCAGATGAGGTAGGATCCACCTCCTGCTCCTCCATAGTCGAACGAGTCAGCGGACATGGAGGTCGACAACATCAACGTTCGCAAAGCCCGAAAGAAGGACCGCAGTAAGTTGCGCTGCTTCAATTGCCAAGGTTTTGGGCACTTTGCAGCTGCGTGCCAAAAGCCGAAGAAAACGATCTCGGGTAATGGACCTCCAGGCAGGCAAAACAACGTAGAAGCCGAAGAAGCACCAAGCGACAAAGATGTGGAGTACATCACGTTTGGTGCCATGGAAGAAAACGGTGCTGAAGGCGTTGCGGTGTCGAAAGCGCAAGTCGGACGATGTCCGGAGAGCGGCAGAATGCCATTGATGGTAAAGTCTGGCGTAATGAATGGCAAAGTCGTAAAAATTCTTATTAACTCTGGAGCAACAAATTCGCTCTCTCGACACCGGTTGGGCAAACATGTCATTCGCTCCAAGGCTGTTCGCATCTCGGGCTACGAGTGATTGGGTTTCCATCATCTTTGGTGTCCCCAAGAAGGATGAGAACGGGAAGATGCCGTCACGTCAAGTGTGGTTGAAGACGGCAACGGCAAACACGCCAATCCATTGGGTTCTTGACTACAGGCATGTGAACTCCCAGTCGGAAATCCCCAAGATCCCTTTACCCAACATCGAGGACCTATTCAGCAAGATGTTTGGATGCGTGGTCCTTACAAAGATCGACCTTGCGTCCGGGTACCATCAAATGCTTGTGATTCCACATGCACGCAAGTACACGGCATTTCGCACGCACAAGGAGATATTGCAGTGGTGTGTTGCCCCGATAGGAATGGCTGGGATGCCAGGAATTTGGTCACGCCTCATGCGTTCACTTTTCGACAAGTTCCCGTTTGTAGTTGTGTACTTGGACGACATTTGCATTTACTCCAAGTCTATGGAGGAACACACTCAGCATTTGCGCATTGTCTTAGAAGTCCTGCGCAAGGAAAAACTGTATGCGCGGCTTGAGAAGTGTGCGTTTGCTGTGGACAAGGTTGACTTTCTGGGCCACACCATCTCTGCTGATGGCCTGCAAGTTGACGCAAGCAAAGTGCACGTGATTGAGAAGTGGGCTTCTCCCACGAATCGCAAGGAGCTGTTGAGTTTCCTGGGCATGGCAGGGTATTACCGCAGTTGTTGATGGACTTGCCTTCCCCAGGGGAGGAGTGCGTTGGTAGTGTCGAAGTCGAAGTTCCTCAACAACTCGTCATCCATCACGCGGAAGAAGTATCGTACAGCATGGTGAAGATGGACTCGAACCTGAAAAACGGTTCCTGAAGGCGTACGAGAAGACGAAGGAGTTTGCCAACGACAATAAGTTCGTAATGAATGATGGACTCTATTTCGTCAAGTCGAAAGACCAAGTTTGGAAGTTGTGTGTGTCGAACGACGACTACTTGAAAGGCGAGATCATTTCGCAGAGTCATGACACCAGCATAACGGCGCATCCAGGTGTGCGTCGAACGCAACTTCACATTGCACAATGTTACTACTTGGTGGGACTTGAGGATGACGTCAAGCTCTACGTCGCTGCTTGCGAAATCTGTGCACGCTACAAGACAAGCAGTGCCAAAGCCAACGGCAAGATGATTCCCATCAAGTCGCCAGATGAGTGTTGGCACACGGTTTCCATCGACTGGATCACGGGCTTGCCTGTATCCAATGGCAAGGATGCGATCATGACGTGCGTGGACAAGACGTCCAAACGACCCAAGTACTGTGCTACGACGTCGACTGTCGATGCTCCTCAAGTGGCCAAGGAATTCTTCGACACAATAGTGCGGTACCATGGCCTACCGGCGGTCATTATCAGTGATCGTGACTCCAAGTTCACCAGCCAGTTTTGGCAGCAGCTCATGAAGATCATGGGAGTCAAGCACTTCATGACGACTGCTGGAAGGGCGATGGAGCCACAGAGCGCCAAAATCGGACACTCGAAGATGCGTTGCGCTGCCAAGTCAGTTACCTCGGATATGACTGGTCAGAGCACCTCGGCACCATTGAGTGTGCGCACCAAGGATTGATTCAAGCGTCGACGGGACTCATTCCATTCGAAGTGGACACGGGCAGAAAGTTGCGTAACCTCGTTCTTAATCAAGTTGAAACTTTGAATGAGTACGCGAAGAACTTTTCCGAACAACGTAAAGCATTAGTCAAGATGGCACTTGAGAACCTTGACAAAGCACAGGCTCGTCAAAAGAGCTACAGGGGAATTCAGAATGCAAGGCCTACTTTTACCTTCGACTTTTCGACCTTTGCATCATCTGATTGGTTACTGTACTTCGAAATTCGGTTTTCATTTCGACCAATGGCATCCGGGTAGTCAAAATAATATTCAAATCACTGTTGAAATGATTTAAATTTTGGAGGAGATTAAATTATGCGTCAACTTTTGATGTGTTGAGTTCTATTGTCGAAGTCAAATTCTTGCATTTTGGCAGGCCATTTAATCATAGAGTGCCAATTATAATTGATACAGCAAACACGGAACAAGCGTAAGCGTTTGACGCGGTGGCGCAATGGTTTAGTGCGACGGCATAACAATTACTTCCTTTGTCCCACATTAATATGCCAAAAGAAAAACACACTTTTTCTACATTACTGTGAACAAATTGATTTTATTGGCTCATCAGGATATACAAGATTTTCATTGGTCATTAAGTCCTAGCCTACAAAAGAAGGGACACAAAACAAGACACATTCTGCATCAGAAGTCCAGCGCGTCGCAAAGCGGCCTACTTCAGGTGAGGCAAGACGTAGTGGTTGCCTTTGGATCAGTCGCATCACTGACTGAAACGTGGGAAAGACGCTCTCGAGCTTCTCTTACCTCAGCTCTTCGAACGCAGCGAGGGTCGAGCGAATCACATCGTCGACAGTGCGACTCATGGACTTGTACTGTAGGGATTGAATCGATGCGAAGAAGCCGAGGTCCAGTATAGAGGAAGGACCCCGGGTTCAATTCATGGGGAGTGTCAAACTTTTTCCTATTTTTTTTTAAATCATTGCGGCTCATACAAAAATCTAATGATATAAACACACCGTACAAAATCGAATGATTGACAATCCATTGGCTCCTGAGGAAGTGCCTTTTCAAAGCTGCCACGAATCGTCTCCGTGGACACCATGTCCCAAGCGGCGATGGCTCTCTTGATCAAGGCCAACCGTTTTTGACGAGCGGTAAGTGAAAATGGATCGTCGTCATATCCCGTGATGATGTCTTCGTAAAGCCACAGTTCCCGTAGGCGCCGCTTGAAAGGAGCCATCACGCTGACGTCAAGGGGTTGGCATATGGACGTCGAATTCGGCGGCAATGGGCAGAGGTGCGATCCAAGCTCTTCGTTGACAATTTTGTAGGAAGCCTCAGACACGTGCGATTCGAAATTATCCACAAGGATAACGGACGCTTCTTCGATGTCGTCATGCAGCACCGTGCGCAGGTAAGTCTTCCAAACGCGACCGTCCATCCAGGCTTTTTCTTGAACAGCGTAGGAGTGACCGTCGGGAAAGGTCGGAAACTCATTCGCATCAATGCGGCCACCAGGTATACCCTTCATGATGAATAAAGTAGGAAGCTTCGTTCCATCCGCTTTGGCAGTCAAGACTGCAGTCATTCGCATGGAGTGCTTCTCCCCCGACGAGATCTTCGAGCTGCCACCGCGAAGAGCCCAAATGTAGTTAGGCGGCATATCGTAATATATACATGTCTCGTCTACGTTGTACACGCTTTCCGACCCATGGGCACGATACTCACGATGAAATTCTGCCGCAAAGATGTCGCGCGTGTCCTCCAGTCCTTCCTGGCTCCGTTTTCTTGTACCAGGTCGTTGTCTCGAAAGTCCATGTCGAGCGGAAAAGCGTCGGAGGAGGAGGAGGGGGTTGTATCCAGTGCCCGTCTTCTTGTTAGCCAAGTACGATACGAGCCATGCACGCTGGTTACGCTTGAT